TAAGTCACATCTCCCCCACCCTCTTGCCATTTTTGTTGCCCTTCGCTGGACTTTCTCCAATTTGTCCATATCCTTTCTGTAGTGGGCGGTGGAGGGGAGGGTGCAAAACTGGACACAGTACACCGATGTGGCCTTAGCAGTGCTGAATAGAAGGGAATAATCACCTCCCTTGACCTACTGGCAACACACCTAGCAGTGCAGCCCAGTATGCTATTAGCCTTCTTGGCAGCAAGGGCACACGGCTAGACAAAGACTGGGTTGGAATGATCTATTTGGGGATGATCCTGCTTTGAGTAGGTGACCTCATGAGGTCCCTTCCAACCCTACCTTTCTATGATGCTATGGTTCCCAGGCCAGTGCTCTGTCTGCCAGTCCATATTGCCTCCCTGAAAATGCTAGCTTCAGTGCAAAGGGCTTTTTGTGTCTCCAGCAGCCTTGGCTGACCTGGTCTAGCCAGTGTCACCCTGCTGACATCCATGCTGGTGCCATTCTGGTGCAGTTATCCCACAGTGCACTGTTTGCAACATGTGTGAGCATTTAGGGCATAAAAACAAGGAGGTCAAGGGTGTGATACAGGGAAAGCCCTCCAATCCTTCACTGCATATCCAGTAGGTAGGTTAGATCCACCCTGAGATGGGGATACCTCCATTCTGTGTTTTTGGGGTGGGACATATGCAACCATTCCCCCCAGGAAAGAGAACCCTATTATGTGTTTGGGAGGACAGGATAGATGGGTCTTATGTATCTGAGTATAGTGGGATGACTGTGTATCTGTGAGGTGGGAGGCAAGTTGGGCTGTAAGGCCTGTCCCCCCTGCTTCTTGTCTGATTCCTCCTCTCCCTCCAGGGCCCTGAAATCAGGTAGTGGGAACCACACCTGTGAAGGAATCCATGCTGCTGGGGCTTGCCCCTCCACCGTAGGCCTGGCTCCCACTCTTCTTGGGCTTTCTGCTGCTCTACACTCTGGCACTGATAGGGAATGGGCTCTTAGTGGGGCTGAGCTGGTTTGATCCTTACCTGGGCTCTCCCATGTATGTCTTTCTGAGGAACTTCTCAGTGCTGGACATGTGCTATGCCTTTGTCACACTGTCTCAGCTGCTAGCTGGCCTGCTGAAGGGCCACCAGGTCATTGCACTCATGGCCTGTGCCACCCAGACCTGCATCTTCCTCTCACTTGTTATTCCCCTGTGCTTGCTGCTGGCCATCATGGCCTATGACCGCTACTTGGCTGTGTGTCACCCACTGCATTACATGACCCTCATGAGCCCTGGGTAGTGCTGGGGGCCGGCAGGCACAGCCTGGGTTGATGGTCTCTTCCTCTCTGGGGTAGACACTGCTGTGGCTTTCCACCTGCCCTACTGTGAACATGCCCACATCAACCACTTCTTCTGTGAGGTGACAGCTGTGCTGGAGCTGGCATGTGCTGGCGCCTCAGCTGCCCAGGCTGTGGTAATGGTAGTGGGTGTGCTGGTCCTCTTGGCTCCTCTCGCTTTCATCCTGGCCTCCTATGTCCTCATTGTGTGGATGGTGATACATATACATTCCAGCCAGGGCTGCCGCTGGGCCTTCTCCACTTGTCTCCCACCTCACTATGGTGACCATCTTCTATGGGGCTGCCATCTATACCTACATGAGGCCCTGCCTCAGCCGCTGGCCTATCCTGGACAAAGTTGTGTCCATCTTCTACACAGCAGTCACCCAGCACTGAACCCCCGCAACAAGGAGGTGAAGGGAGCTCTGGTCAGGGCTGCCCAGCGTGGCTCCACCTCATGCCTCTGAGCTGGCAGGGCACCCCTGCAGATAGTCCTCCACTGGCAGCATTCCTCCATCTGTGGGGACACTGGATCCGATGTCAGCTTCTGGCATAGGTCAATCTATGATTTTGAAAGAGGGGGTGTGGTAGATACAACTGGTGCCACAGGGGCAGCTGCCAGGCCCCCTCCCTCCCAGCATCTCCCCTGATCTTGATTCGTGCCATGGCTGCTTTTGTCTTGAGCTGTTCCACAAGGGGCTGCATGTGTTCAGATTTGGAAGACATGAAGGTGGCTTCGCTTGTTATACAAATCGACTTTTTGCCTATTGTTTTTAATCTTATGTATTTTGTTGAGTTTTGTATTGCCTTAAGAAACTCCGTTTTGTATTGCTCTGTAGCTTGACACAAGTGCTCGACCTTTTACGCTTTTGTATGCTGTATGGATGAGTGTGTGTTTGTGGAAAAGGAAAACATCAGCTGGTGACTGGCTGAAGAATGCAGACAGATAAAAGACCAAAACAAGAAGAATTTGCCCTGGAACAGTGAGAGAACAACGAAATTGACCTTCAAGGAAGAACACAGCAAAAGCCCAGAGGACTGGGTGAATTGACAAGGCTATAAAAGATGGGGCGAGACATATCGATTTTGAGTCTTGTTCTGCACGTCATCCTAGAGCATTGGTTCGTCTGACAAGATGGACCAGCAGGAGCCCAGTGCCTACTCATAATCAACTTGGCTAGCCACTAAGTTGATCCAAGTACTGATAAGACTGGTAATGTATACCAGTGCAAAACAGAAATTGGGGGTATGAATGTGATGTGCGTGTGTGTATTAAGTGCTTAATCAATAAATGTGGCATCTTGCCTTATCCTCCCTCATAAGGTCTCGCTTGTGATTTGAGCAATTGTCAATTTGTGTAACATGCTTTCCTGTGCCCCCAGATGCAAGGGTCCACCAGGGTACCCCCTTTCTCCACCTGCTCCCTGCCACTGCTGCTGTCTCCAGCCAAGGTGGGCACCCCATGTAGCTGCTTCCCACCACCCGTGGCTGGGGCAGGGCAGAACCAGCCCTGGGGCTCCCCCCACTCTTGGGTCAGCTGGGGAGAGTGGCCATAAAAGGTGGGTGCCTCCTTTCTGTGCTTGCTCCCTGTTTGCTCCCCCTGGGTGTCCATCAGGAGCACAGGGCTCTAGCCATGCCTTACATCTGCCATGGTCTGAGACCAGTTCCTGCTCTCTGGATTCCACGGGGTACCCAGGTGTCTGTGTGGGAAGTGGAGCCACCAGCGTGTCATCTAGAGAGCGCACTACTCTGCATCATGGAAAGGGGGTGCAACTACACTACTGCACTCCCCCTGGATCCACCCCTCACTTCTGGGTGAGGAAGACCAGGCTGTGGTCTACCTTCGGCTGACCGGTACTGTTCCAGCCTTGCCAGCAAGGGGTATTTAAAAATGACAAGATTAGATTAAAATAATTGCAATATAATAAAGAGTTTAGACTGTCTTTCTGTAACACTTTTGGGCAACTGCGTGTACGCCGCCCAGAGAGCTGGCGGGGACTCTGCCTCCTCAGGCAGGGAGGCAGGAGCCCCGCTGCTCTGCGGAAGGAGGCAGAGGCGGGCAGGGAGTTTATATGCTAGCAATATATAAATATATACTAACTATACTAGCCCATCCCATGGTAATCCTAATCATAATCCTAATGTAATCCAACTCTGATCCCATCCTACTGTATCTATAATAATCAGAATGCCACTCTATTGTAATGCTGCTCTTCCTTTCTCGTACACTGTTGTAATATTAAATACATTCTAGGCAATTTCATTTCATCCTATCCTATAATCCTTGTTATGATAATCTGAATTTCATCCTACCCTAATCCCAACTGTAATTTAGTTCTAATCCTTAGCATAGTCTTATACTTTTCTAGCCTACTTTATCCTCACTCAAAATTATTTCTATAGAGTAATTCTCATCCCAATTCCTTGTATCCCACCCTAATAGCTCCAATTTTCAGTTAAAAAAGACATAACCCTAAATCCACATTTTTTCCCGTGATTTAAATGAAATGCTGCTAATATAGAGATATGTGTATACTGGCATTTCATTTTAATCGCAGGAAAAAGTGGATTTGGGGTTACTTTTTTTTTTTTTTTAAACCAAAAATTGGGAAGTTTTTTAAATCGGAGAAAACCAGGATTCCCCCTTCTCAGGCGGGTCCCTGCAGGGAGCCTGAACTGGTGCCAGTAATGTGGGGCGCAACATAGGTGACTTCAGCCCCAAGCCCACCCCATCTGTTTCTTCCCCCCGGCTCCGTGCAGGGGCAGAGGCACGACGCCGCCGAGGGACTCAGTCCCTGCACAGGCTGGGGTCAGAGTCCGGGTGGAAGGGCCGGGCCGGGCCGGGCCGCAGGAGAGGCGCGTTGGGTCCCTCGGCCGGGCGTGGCCTCACGCCGGCACGGGGACCACAGGCGCTGCCTCTGGGAGGCGGCACCACTGCTTCTCAACCAGGTTTAGTAGCATCGCTCGCCGGGAGGGAAGAGGCAGACCCGCGCCTCCGGCGGGCACGGGAAGTCCCGGGCTGGAGCTGGAGCTCAGCGCTGAGGCCCGAAGGAACAGCACTGGCTAGGAGGCGCCGCGCACACTAACACAGGCCAGCCTGGTGGAGGAGCGCGGGGGCCGGGCTCCTAGCCCCGCCCAGATCCTCGCCCTCCTCCCCCGCCCTCTTAGCTCCGCCCCCTTCGCGTGGCTAGGGAGGGGCAGCAGAGGGGAGGACGAGAGTGCGGGGCGGGGCCTGAGGAGGGCTCCGTGGGAGGGGGCGGGTCCCGGCTCCGATTCGCTGGCGGGGAGAGGGGGCGGGCCCTCAAGACAGCCCCGGCCCCGCCCCC